TAAACAAAGGTGTATGTTTGTAGAGTAATTTACAACAGCTTCGAACGCGGCTCAGCCAATCAGAATCAAGCACCGGAACTCTCCGCTTTATAAAATAAAATAAACTTCCACTGAAATAAAATAGTAGTTTCAGTAACATTTCACTTGGTTAACTTGATGGACTAAAATAACTAAAACTAAAATTGAAATAAAAACTAAGAATAAAAATAAGTTCTTAATAATCATAAAACTATATATATATATATATAACTAATTATAAAAATTTAATTCATAAAAATTTAATTTTATGAAATATAAAATAAAAACAAATTTCAAATATTAACAAAAACTACACTAATATCTTAACGATTATAAAATAATGACACTATGTTTTAATGACACAGTTTTTTCAACAAGTGTTTAACATTCAGCTGACCATCAACCTCAGGAGGACAAACTAGATATTATTATTCTATTATTTATTTTACATGTGTTCATGTGCATCGAATGGCTTGAACTGAAGTGTCCTGACTGATAATCAGAGTTTGTACCCTTGTGTTGTCGAAGGAGGATTTGCTGGTGATGTCATAGAGCAGGAGAAGAGCTGTGAGATCAACAATAAAACGATCATCGATTAGAATAAAACCACAACGCTGACAGACAGTGAAGGGTTAATCATTTCTCACCCTGAGCGTCTCTGTAATACGCATGTGTGACGCTCCGAAACCTCTCCTGTCCCGCCGTATCCCAGATCTGAGACGGCAGATCATTCACATTCATCCGTTATAATGAGATGCACTGCTGATACATTAACGCTTCACAAACTCAGATTCACTCACCTGTAATCTCACCTTCAGCTCATCCACAGTGAGCACTTTATTCTGACAACAGAGAAGCAGTGAGCATTATACAGCATTATACAGCAGATGCATCAGGTGTGACATTCTCCAGGTTTAAATCTCTTCATCTGTTTCTCTATCCATTGATATATTCACAGAGGAGACAGGTACACTCAAAAGATTTTTAATGTTTATTAAAGAAGTCTCTTCTGCTCAGCAAGCCTGCATTTATTTGATCCAAAGTACAGCAAAAACAGTAACATTTTAAAATATTTTCATTATTTAAAATAACTGCTTTCTATTTGAATAGACTTTAAAATGTAATTTATTCCTGTGATTTCAAAGCTGAATTGTTAGCATCATTACTCCAGTCACATGATCTTCAGAAATCATTCTAATGTGCTGATTTGCTGCTTAAGAAACATTTATTATTATTATTATTATTATTACGTTGAAAACAGCCGAGTATAATTTTTTCAGGTTTCTTTGATGAACAGAAAGTTCAGAAGGTTCAGAAGTATCTCAAATATAAATCTTTTGTAACATAATAAATGTCTTTATCATCACTTTTGATCAATTTAAAGCATCCTTGCTAAATAAAAGAATTAATTTATATCATTTCTTTTTATACTGACTATATATATAAATGCTGATCTTTGGAGCTTTCTATTCATCAAAGAACCCCGAAAAAATTCTACTCAGCTGTTTTCAACGTAGTAATAATAATAATAATAATAATAATAATGTTTCTTGAGCAGCAAATCAGCATATTAGAATGATTTCTGAAGATCATGTGACACTGAAGACTGGAGTAATGATGCTGAAAATACAGCTGCGCATCACAGAAATACATTACAGTTTAATATATATTGGAATAGAAAACAGTTATTTTAAATTGTAAAAATATTTCAAAATTGTACTGTTTTTGCTGTACTTTGGATCAAATAAATGCAGGCTTGGTGAGCAGAACAGTCTTCTTTAAAAAAAAAAAAAGCATTAAAAATCTTACTATTATCGATTAACAGGGTGAATTACCGTAAATCCGATTCCCACCGTCGCAGAAAACGATCCAGGGATAAACTTCCCTTGATCAAACTGAACCAGTAGAGACGTCTTTCCCACTCCGCTGTCTCCCACCAGGATGGTCTACAAGACGAGAAGATGAAGAGAGACACTCAGAATACGACAGATTAGGGAGGTGAATTATAAGAACATGTAGAATATATGAACAGAAATCACTGTTTAATAATCAGTGCATCTCTATGTGAAGTCACAGATAAGTGCTGGTGCTGATGGAGGTGTGTTGTTGCCATAACAACCGCTCCCCCCCAACAGGAAGTAATTGGGCGGAAGAAACACAGATGCTGTGGAATTCATCTCTCATCAGGAACACTAACATTCAGATATTTTAGCTTTACTATGAGTGTAAGGAAACGATCGATTCTTGGGATTTGAAATAAAGGATGAGTGAAACACAAGAGTCCACAGTGACTCTGTTTCTTTATTTAGAGAGAAGACCTGTGTCAGTTTTATTCAGTTATGTAACAGCAACTTGAACACAGAGAATAACAAACCAGAGACCCAAGGCTAAAACACACACAAATTAAGCAGCCTCTAGTCTAATGTGTGTGTGTGTGTGTGTGTGTGTGTGTTGTACATAAACCACTTCAGTGTTAAACATTCTATCTGAGAGCAACCTGACACTAATGACAACGAGATATGCTGATCATCATCACATAACACGTTATAATCACCATCACATCATTACACGCTATAATAGCTACCATCAGATATCATAACACAACGTATTCACCATCATCACAAACCATAGCATATGATCATCACATAACACAAAATAATCACATCATAACAAACTATGAATCACCATCATCACAACATAACACACTGTAAAAACATCATCACACCATAATAACACTAAAATCACCACCATTAAACATCATAACATTATAACATACTATAATCACAATCATCACTTAACACTATAATAACATAATCACATCATAAAACATTGTAATCACCATCATGTTTCATTACACACTATAATCACCACAATCACATAACATACCTATAATAACAACAACCATCATGACATGCTATAATACCCTATAATCACACTATCAGACACCATAACACACTCTAATCACCATCTCCAAGAAACAAACCATAATCAATATCATTGATTATGCTATAATAACACGCTGTACTCACCATTATCACATCATAACATTGTAATCACCATCCGATAAGACAACATTAGGCTATCAAATGAGGCTCTGACTCGTTCAAGTCTTTGAAAATAATTTATCTACAATGTGTTGCATTAGGTCTACTTTCAAATTAATAATGAATGAACAGACACCAAGACAAATAGGTCTCAGCATCACAAACATGAAAGAAAATATCACAAAAACAAAGCACATGAATGAATATCACATCAACCCATATGCTCATCTCGTCAAACAGATGACAGAAATATCATCATTCAGCGGATGGCTGATCAATAATAATTACCTTGTGTGTTAAATCCTGATTATAAGCGACGGCCGCTGCGCTGATCTGATCCATCACTGAGCGCCGGTGACGAAACTACTGAGACATTTGCGTCATTTCCACGCCTCCCTCACGAGGACAAACACCGAAAGCATGCTTTACTAAATCAATAAATCTGGAAGCATTATTATAAACAATTCGACCATATGTTAAAATACTCTCGCTCTTTTGGCATTGAATAAAAACACTGTGGAAAAAGAAAATTGAATAAAAACATTGTGGGAAAAAGATCAAATAGATCTCCTTCATATAAACACAAAGTGCACAAGAAATTATGAGTATTTATTATTATTATTATTACAGTGACAAAACAAACAGAATCACGAAATTATATAAAAACGTAGACAAATGTAGAGATGAGTTTTAATGGTGACCACTAGATGGCAGAACAGACTAAAAGACAAAAAAATAATGTGTTACTGAACACCTGTAGAAAATAAATATTCAAGTAAAAATTCATCCAGTTTGTAACCTTTTTTTTCAACACTGGCTTTATTGATTTTAGAAACTTTAACATGAAATAAGAAAAATAATAATATGAGAGAAAAAAGTAAATTACATATATTTAAATATATGCACATTTACATACAATACACATACATGTCAAAACAATGGCACAGTGATATAAGCTGATGCATGTTAAGCCACACAGAAAATCCTATAAAGGTATTCCATACTTCGAAAAACTTTTAAGGTTTTCCTTTAACAAATGTGAGTTTTTCCAAAGCCAAGCAATGAGACAATTCTCGTAACCAGCTTGTAACATACTAACTCTGTGCTTCCAGATCAGTACGAAAAAAATGTCACTCTTTCCATATAATAAAGATGAGAAGGCTTGGACTGTCCAGCTAAAAATAGAACTATAAAAGTATCATGAAAATAGTTCATATGACCCGTCTGCTATATTCCAGTCATCTAAAGTCACATGAACTTTATGTGATAAACAGAGATGCCATTGAGCATATATACAATGCTTTACATTTGCTTTTATGTGTTTGACCGACCCTTTTGGCAGTGCATTCATACTATACTACAGCCAGATTTGATGATTTCTCTGCATGCAGTGTTTCAGAGGCCAGTAGGACACAATGTTCCACATCAGTTATGAGTGGCAGTTTGCCTTCTGATGGGTTTCTTTGAACACAGCTTGCTGTAAACCCGGTCTGAACCCAGTTCTGTGTCACAGCAGGACCTTCATGACCTGAAACAGAACCAGTGCTGTACTGGAGAGAGAGAGACAGGGAGTTAGACAAGGTTGCCCATTGAGCCCCACTCTGTTTAACATT